CAAGGGCTTATTGGTTGCATGCTGGGTAAAGGTGGAAGCAGGCAGTACTCGACCATCTCGACGTATTCTGCTTTGTTTATTGCTTCTGTATTCCGTCGCGTCCGAAAGGGTCAATCACTTACAAGGTCGTATAACCGACAGACTTTCAACGGTTTATGGTAATAGTCTATCTTTCAAACGGCTTCGTTCGAAACATACTGTTTGCTGCTTGCTGGGCATTGAATTTTAAGGAAGTCAAATGAGATTGCCTTTCCGTATAACTAGACACCATCGCAGTTAGGATGCACTGTTACTCATTGGCTTGTACACTTCACATCCCTGAATAGCATGCTTTCATCCATGCGCCCACACCCTCTCCTGAACCTGTGATAAACCTTTTAGAGTAACTGGGTATTCTTTTTGATCATGCAGCCGTCGACGGGGTCTCATCCACTTCTGAACCTTTCTCAAATTTTAAATCTGGTTGTTTTCTCTCTCTCGTCGCTGATTCACTTTAAAATATAGGCTTTATTGATCGGGGCCCAAAAACCCTGATTCCTCTTCCGTCGGTCACTACTGAATGCCTTCACAAGTACAAATCATTAATGCACAAGGGCTACGTCTGTGCCTTAATCCCGAGTTTCATGCCGTCTCCCTGAGGCAAACGGCGTTACTTCAAGATTTAGGCTGTATCTGCTGTAACTTCGACGGCTGAGGTCTCGCTTTTTTTCTAACGACCATATCAATACATCTTCCGCCGCTTATGTTCCTATGTTCTTCCGTTGCCTTCAAGGACAATAATCTCGTAAGACACTTGGACGCCTGTGAGACCATGGGTAACGCGACGGCCATCTGCTCCGACAAGACAGGGACGCTGACCACAAATCGCATGACGGCCGTGCAGTGCTATATTGGTGAACAACACTACCGCACCCTTCCTAGAGCTGAAGACTTGCCAAAAACAACTGTCGAACTCCTTCTTCAAGGAATTTCCATTAACAGCGGTTACACATCCAAAGTCCTTGTAAGTCATTGTACACAGGTGAACTTTTCCCAACCTACACCTATATATTCTCGTATTGATTCTTTGCTGCTTTTTATAGTCGTATTCTTAACCTGTCTTCTGGTTTTCTTCATCTTCCTATATTGTTCTGCTTCTTCCTTGTTCCTCCCTCCTATTCTACCGATTCTCTTCGCCAAATCCTTCCATGTTCTTTTCCTATTGTTTCTCCTTTTGTTTTTTAAGTATTTTTATATGAAAAATGCGGACACTGTTACGTCCACGA